TTTTAATTGGCAACTTTTTTTTACAGATAAACCCCAATGTGTTAGATCAGTGATTCTCAACCACTGTGCCGCGGCACTTTAGTGTGCCGCCAAATTCTTAAAATGTGCAATAAAAATTATAATGCTTTTTTTTATTTTTATTATGAGTAAAGTTTAAATTATATATATATATATATATATATATAATTTTTCCACGCTTTAACCGCGTGAACATCTTTGTCAGCGATTGTCTTGTCTCTGACAATCTTAAAATAAGATGGAAGTGTTTAAATTGTATATGACACACAATTTTAAAAAATGTTGTAAGAGCTAATCATTAAAGTAAGCTATGCAATTAATAAACAAATTAACAAAGGACAACTAAAAAAAATAAATAAATAAAAAACAAATTAACAGACGATAACTTACAAAAATTAAGCTGACAATTAATAATTAGCAAAAGAAACTAGTTAACAAGAAATCACAAAAAAAAATAACAGTTAATGTAAAATAAACTAACAGTTAATAACTATGGAAAACAAGCTAACAATTAATAACTGGCAAAAAGATAAATAACTGTTACTAACTAATAAAAAATAGTTCGAAAGAAATAATTAATCCCTTAATAAATGTGCTTTTGTAGTACATATTATTTTATTTCACATTCAAAATTATTATCGCAAACTATTTAACATAGTGTAAAATAGGTAATTAAACAATTTTTAATCTAGTTTTTTTCATTGTGTGCCGTCAAATTTCGAAATCGTTATAAGTGTGCCGCAACAAAAAAAAAAAGGTTGAGAATCACTGTGTTAGATAATGAGATGGCCCAGGTTTGAATTTTAGCGATGGCTGGTCTATATGAATTATGCACCCTGCTCGCACTAACCATAGCATTGATGTAAAATGTCCTCAGTGGTAGACAGATCGTTAAAAAAAATGAAATATCGTAAAGAAAAATATATTTATCGAGTTAAAAGATTCTTTGATAGAAAGAACTCCCTAATTTGAAAGTTATTCGGATTATGCATAATCAGCGTTCATTCCTCTTTCTCGATAACTATTGATATGAATTCAATAAATAACAAAAGAAAGATATGCCTCCTATCTTTTTGTGAAAGTGCTATTTATGTGCTTGGATCATATTTTAACACGATGATGTATGTATCTTGTATGAGAACAATTCGATACTGTCAGTTTTCCCAAGCGTAAAAATTGACGTCATAGATTACGTCATTGGGAAGGAACAGACAGATCACTTCGCAGCCTATTGTATTTTACGTTTTTTTTTCCACAGGTGTGTTTTTGGAATCATCTTTACGTCATTATTTCATATCTCCTGCATAATTCGGATTATCCTTTTTTTGATGAAATCTCGATTGTATTCAATTGGTATTAGTACTTAGCAACTTTATTTATTTTATTCCTAAATTTAATTCAGATTAAAGCTGCGTGTCATTCAAATTTAGCGGGGAGTGGATTTCTGTCTTTTTGTGAATAATTGTTTTAGTTTAAGCTGGCATTAATTATGTTGTTATTTTATTTCTCTTTTGGGTAAAAAGGAAGAAAAAAATTAAATCAATAAAAAGAAAATAAATTTTACCAGATTTCAATTACGATCTTTAAAAATGATTTTTTTTCCCGTGGCAAATTAACATTGTGTAAAAATTAAGGAATTTATTTTTAAAAAATGAACTTAAAGTTTTATTGTTTAAATAAAGATTTTAGATCACCTTCATGTGTCTATGCTTACGAAAAATTCTAAATGAGGGGTGGTTAACCATAACGTTTTAATATAGTTTGTGTTGTAAGAATTCTTTATTATCATTACGAGAGGACATGGCATTCGTTTGGCATGGTGAGTGAATAGGCATTCCTTTCGACCTAATCTGTCATGATCATGTATATGAGAAAAATGTTAAACATATCTAAATTATATTTAACATCGAAGATGAAATGAATAAATGAAAATATTTAATTTTTAAATTCTTGTTTTTCAATTGATATCCAAAAGCGCAAAATACTTCCGCAATATTGTAAACATTGTTACTGACTATGGGCTACAAAATACAGTGTTAGGACCAATTTGCTGTAATCTTTTAAATGCGGAAAATATTTAGATTCTGTGTGTTGGTAATATGAATGAATTACAAATTTTTTATTAATATTTTGCTTACATACAGGTAAAAATAATTTATGTAAATAAATGTAAACAAATATATTTATTGGATTAAAGCAAATGGTAAATTTATAGGTATATAACAAAAAAGGTAACTTAAGAAAGACAATTGTCCTCACAGTTAACTTCCACTATTATTCAGAAATTAATTTTTTATTTACTTTTATTGACTTGCGAGATTTTTTTTCTCTTTTAATTAATTTATGCAAATTCATAAGTAATTACATTTTCCTGCAGATTCTGAACCCGTTAAATCTATTGAACTTCCTTAACGAAATTGCCGCATTCTGATATTTTGAGAAAGGTTGAAAACATTCTGCATAGATATCTGCCTATATTAGTCCCTGCATTCTGTTACAAAGCATGACTGGAAAAAAAAATTGCCACTTTTTTTTAATATTTTTGTTATTATTTTAGACAGTTCAAGGTCTAAGTTAAAAGTCTTTGAGGCCACAGGTTGTGCATTTAAGCTGTAAAAAATCAGCTGTGGTAATTTTTTTTCCTTTGCTTTTTCATTTCACTAAGTCACTTTTTAAAGGAAACTCGGCAAACGCAAAGGATAAAAAAAACTCACTTTATAAGTGTAGGGCTCTGTTTTTTATGAACGTCGAACCGCAACAGATAAAGAAAAAAATATGAAAAACTACATAAAGCATAAATTTGGAAAACTAAATTAATTCGCGACTACCGGCCGTAGATTGAAGCAGAGGTTAAAGGTCGCCGCCCCCTTTCAAAAGTCTTCAATGGAGCTTTCTTGGGAGAAAGAGTAGAGAGTTTAGTATTGATTTCATTGATGATGGGAGATGAGTCACACAACTACGATGTGTTACCATAGTTACCGCCACTAAGTGCGCGCCACCTGGTTCGAATAATCTACATACTCGGAATCAAATAAAAACAAAACTAAAAAAAATACTCTAAACGAATGATATCCCCCTCTGAGTGTAGAGGAATTTTACAGTCTATGAAGTTTTGCATTTCACTCTATTGGTATGTTGATTTTAACCTTTGTTCCCCCCCCCCTTTCATGTAACTCCTTTTTTATTTTAATGGTCTAGTACTGCGCGTGCTTTTAAGAAACAAATCGACTGCTGTGAATGAATGTCATTGTTTTAAATTATGAGTACGTGAAATAAATGTTTGTTGTTACTTTTGTGTAACGAGAAATGACAATTTTAATAACTGAAATTGATCGTTGTTATGAATTAAAATTTAATCAATGAATTCGAAGTAATCAGTACGGAAAATAATTGTTCGTTGTTATTTTAGTTGTGAAAAGAAACCAAAAAGTTAATCAATGAATATCGTAGTTCTGAATAATGAGTGCGCGGAATAAATGTTTGTTCTTATTTTAGTGTAAATAGAATTTAAAAGTTTAATGAATGAATATTGCTGTTCCATATAATGTGTTTGTAAAATTAATGTTGGTTGCTATTTTAACGAAAGAAATCAAAACTTTTATCAATGAACATCGTAGTTTTCTGTTTTGATTAAACAAAATAAATGTTTTTTTTTAGTGTAAAAAATGATCAATGAATGTCATTGTTCTATATATTGAGTACGCACAAATAAATGTTGTTGTTATTTAATTGTTAAAGAAAAATTAAAACTTAATCAATGAATATCGTAGTTCTAAATTATGATTCCAAAAAAAAAAAAAAAAAAATTATTTTTACTTTAATGTAAAGAGATATCAAAAATTTAAGAATGGAGTATTCTTAAATTTTTGTTCTATATATATTTGTTCTAATATATATTTTGTTCTAATATAGATTATTGTTCTAAATAATAAGTACTAAATTAATGCTTGTGGATACTTTAGTTTAAAGAGAATTGCAAAACTTTATGAATGCTTTAATGGGATATTTCTAAATTTATTCAGTCAGCATATAATTTTGATGGACATGAATATTTTAAATGATTTTTTGCGTTACAAAATTCGAGATTCTAATAAATGATCTATCTAATTAATTTTTAATGTTTTTAATTTTTATTAAAAACATTAATATTTTTATGTTTTTTTAATACTTGATAAACTTATTCCTCCAGTTCTTTATTCTCCATTAAAAACTGTTAAAATTAACCAGTAATCAAATAATAATTTGTTTGGATAAAATCACCAATTGAAATTTTTATGTTGACTTTATAATGTATGTATTAATATAGATTTTTAGACATGTTTGTATTAGAACACTTTAAAAATAGAAAAGCAATTTAATCCATCAGAGGAATTATACTATTTTAAGTATTTATTGTTCTATTATTCTTTGGAAAAAAATTGCAATTTAATGGCTATGATTTAACTTTAAAATTAAACTTTTTTTGTGCATCAGATGAAAGTTTTTATTTATAAGTGTTAAATTTAAGTGTTAAATTTTTTTAATGGGTGTGAGTTTGTAATAGTTATTTATAATTTGAGATTAAATTGTGTCCATCTTTAGTCTGAACTTTCTATATTGATTATGAAATGTAAATATATAGAACAGTGTTTTTATGGTTGAAAAGATACTAATACAATATTTTGCTTGGGATCATAAAAATGCGATTATTTATTGATTTTAATAACTTTCACCTGTGGGAAATTTTTGCCTTATTGATGATTGAAAATTTCTTTAATAATATTATAAATATTTCTACTTTTTGAACTACAGTCAATTCTTAAATATTTATAGCTTAAATTTAAAGCTATGATTCATTCTCTATAACTATATCTCTTCTATTTTCCTTCACTAAAGAACTTTTCAAAACATCCATAATAAAAATTTAAATATATTTTCATTGAACTAACTCCTTTACTATAATTAGCTATTGTTATTTATAAAGTAAACTTTTTCCTTTGCAGATTGACTATCCAGATGTGCAGTTAATGCGACCTGGTCAAAGGCAGTCATGTACAACTATGAATCTAGAAAAATTGTTGGCTTTAGAACAAGAGGAAGTAACAATCGCTCTAGACACAAGGCAGAGATTTTATTCTGAAGGTGGTGATGACAACTATAGACATCACAGATTACAGGTAACTTAATATTTTTGCATGCCAAATTATCCTAATTCTTAATACTTTAAAAACATGGTTTCCAATGTACCATTAATTTTTCCTTTAATTTTTTTTAAAAATTATATAACTTAAAAGAGTGACACTTAAATTCGTCTTTTTTTCTTCATTTTCCCATCATTTCTTTCACTATTGTTTTTCTTCTATACATTATTTTTTATAGTAATTATTTCTCTTGTTAATTTTTATAACATGGAATTTATCTTTAGAAAAGTTCCTCTAACTTATTAGCTTATACATAAAATTTTGCCTTAAGGTTATTCTCATTTGGCCAGAAATTATTTTAATTTTTTGTTTTTCAGATCTGTTAATCGAAACCCTCTTAATTGACTCTTCATAGTAAAAACGTTCATAAAAACAAATGTTTTTAAAAAAGAAAAATCTAGATAAAAGCCAAAACAAAAATTGTTCTTAATGTTTAAAAAAAAATTTAAATGTTGAAAATCACTGTTTAACTTTTTCACATTGCCATATTAGAAATGCCCTTTTAAAACACTGTGTTGTAATAAAATTGTCAATAAAAAGCAACGTTATTGCAAAAGTGAAGGAGAAAAAAGAAAAAAAATTCTTACTTCTGAAAGTTAACATTGAGAATCTGTATATTGAAACTAAACAAAAAGTGGTGAAAAAAAGATGAAATAGATTTGCTGGAATACAATTAAAAAATAAAAAAAATCAGTAGTACAAAACTTATGACTCAGTATAAAGTAATCTAGTTTCAATTCTTCAAGTTTCACATTTCCATGTGTCTTGCAGAACATAAATTATCAAGTTTTAGAACTTAACAAATATGTGTCAAAACTATTTCTAATAATGTTTTGTAAAAATATGATTTTAGTTTTTTTTAAAGAAATCTGTTCTAATTCCTCCTAAAAAAAATTTTGTAGAAATATACTTTTCAAATATTACAATACTTAATACCCATGATTAGAATATTTAAAATTTTAATTAAAGCTATTTAAAAGCTTTTTTAAAAAAGTGTTAAGCCCAGTTGAATACCTTTAGATATTAGTTTTATTTTAGTTTGTTACACCTATTTTAGCCAATTTTGTGTTGAATATGAAGATTTTAAACCTAATATTTGTCTGTTTTTGTAGCTTCCTCTGGAGTTCCCCTCCATACTCCACCGCGGGGAAGCTCTCCTCAAAAGTTCCAACAGAAACTCCCACAGCAGTGATTCCTCTTCAGCCTATTCAGGATCTGATACCATGCAGTCTGTGCAGTCCTCTTTGGAGGATCAGGAGGTGGATTTATCTGGACTTATTGAAAGCATTGTTGATTCTGATGAAGAGGAGGACCTAGCAGAATCTCTTAATGTAAGTGATTTTTAATATTCCCACATTAGAAGAAAGTTCTCAGTTCTTAAAATAAAAATGAGGAAATATACTTACCAGGGGTCTGTTTAGAAGAAATTTGGGTCCGTTAACGGACCCTTCACAAAATATCCTTTCATAAAAACGGACCCTTCACAAAATAATTTATCTTTTGATCAGACCCTTCACATATTTGTTTATCTTCATTGTTGTTTTGCTAATCGAATAAACCTTTCCCATGAAGGGGGGGGACGGATGTAAACGAACTAAATTTTGTCTTCAGCAGACGCTTCTTGCTTTATACGTTTGAAATGGATATTCAGCTCTCAGCAGTATAGGCTAAATACGAAATATTTGTACGTTGCATAGCTAATTCAGTAGCTGCAATTGCTGTTTATTTTTTAAAATTTAATTTTTTTAATTATAATTTTACAGCGTTGAGCTTAATCTTGCATGTCTTTACAATTTAAAAACTCCTTGACAAAGTTTTTTTGCAATAACGAACCCTATTTGCACAAATTGACAAAAGCGGACCCTGGTTGAAAGAATGTGACTTAACGTTTATTTTATATTCACGAATTACGAGTAATTTTTTTAAAATTTTACAAAAACGGACCTTTCACAAAATCTCTGGACAGACCCCTGCTTACCCATTGCAATTTTTAAAAAAATCAGCAGTACAAAAGTTATGTTTTTGTATAAAGTAATCCAGTTTCAATTCTTCAAGTTTCGCTTTTCCATTTGTCTTTCAGAACATGAATTCACAAGTTTTAGATTATTCTTTATTAAATCTGTTCAAATGCCTCCTAAAAAAAACTTTGTCCAAAAATACATTTCCAAAAAATGCTTTGCTGAATTGGCTGAATACTTGTCCAAATATTCGACCAACCGAATATCAAAGTAGTGGCCGAATATTTGTTACATCCCTAATTGTAACTAGTTATAAATAGCTAAAAAAAATTTACATTTTTGTTAGATAAACTATCCCCATATTTTAATTAAGTTCCATTGTATTGATATGTGTTCTACAAGTGTTTTCGTTTCATTTAATATTTGATTCTGTCTTTTTTATTATTATTCGTATAGAGTCTCACTGTGAGGGATACTGTCAGGGAATGTCTTGAAAAAGATCCCTGCGAAAGAACCGAGGATGATATTGAAGTTTTGCTAGAATTTATGCAGCATTTACCGGTAAGCCTTTTTTCATAGTATTAAGAATTGAATATTTGCTTTGCAAAATTAATTACAAATGAAAATGTTATAAAATTTATTGCCTAGTAACCCTATGCAATTAGAAAGTTGCATTCGTCGCGTAGAGAAACCAATTTCCCCTTTTATATTTTCTAAGAAAATACAGATAGGAGAAAACATTTTTTAAATTTTGCCCATCATTTGTTTTATTTGGTACAACCAAGAAAATGCACTCTTTGCAATTAATTATTTTCTCTATATATCCTTTTTCAGGGTGCGTAGCGTTTGTAAAAAGTACTTAAAGGTGCTTTTTGGGAGATTTCGTTTTAAAAAAGTGCTTTTTTTTTTCACGAATAATTTTTTTCTTCCTTCAGTGATATCTGGCGGATCCCCTGTATTTCACGAAAAATGGGGTGTTTGCTACGTAATCATTCACACGAACTTCATGTCGTACCCACGTTATGACTTGCGCATGCGCGCACACTCCAAACTGAAACCCGAGTGCTCCAATTCGGATAGAGTCAGATCCTTATTAAATGTTTTTCTTTTTAATTTATAATTTTATTCTTGTTTATTTTATTTTACTTCTAACACTTTTTTGATGTAGGGGGTAGGGTACTTTTGTTCTGAGTTCAGAGTCAAGTTGAATTCACTCGGTGATGTGGGAAAGTACTGATTGTTTCGATTTACTTCCGTTTCTTTTTGAGTTTTTTTTTAATGCTAAAACTGTTTATAAAAAGTTTTTGTTTTTCAATAATATCATTGATTCAATATGAATTTTTTGAGTGCTTGAAAATTTTTTAAAAAGTGCTTATTTTTGATTCAAAGATTTGGCTATGCACCCTGTTTTTGCTAACTGTTTTTATTTATTTGAGTTTCTGGAAATTGTTCTAAAAATTCTCCTACAACTCAAAATAAATTTAGTTTTTTTTCCATATCTCCCTTTATTTGCTTAAATATGAATACCACAATCTCCCACATATCATGTGTTGGGCACTTAATAACCATTCAAACATGATAATACATAATGATATCTAATAAACATTTAAGTAATACAGAGATTAAGTTTTTTCTTTCCCATGTGTGAAAATTTACGAGTAATCATTTCTGAATATTGCAGGCTTTTGCCAATATGACTTTAACCATCAGACGTGCATTATGTGCAGTGATGGTCTTTGCTGTAGTGGAAAAAGCTGGAACAATTGTTATGAATGACGGCGAAGAACTGGATTCTTGGTCTGTAATTGTTAATGGACATGTTGAAGTGGAGCAAGCTGATGGAAGAATCGAAGAACTACATCTTGGTGATAGGTACTATAATATATTTATTTTATATATAGATAGATGTAGACATATACAAAAATATATGATACACACAGAGGGGGGGGAATTATCAATAGGTTCAATCATTTTGGAAACATACATAGCACCTACAATGAAACAAATCAGATATGATACAGGACAGAAATCAGATACTATAATAATACATAAATGAAATTTTTAAACTGTATTATAAAAACTTATTTACTGTATAATTATTGTAAAACTGTTTCCATTTATCTTAAATTATTGTATTGATGATTTTTCTAATGTTTTATCTTAGTTTTTTATTGCACTGACTCCAGTTTTGTGTTTTCTTTTTTTAATTTTCTATTTTGTATTTTATCTATTTTTCAAAAATTAGGATGTTTTATTAACACTAAATTTATTTATTTAATAAAATATTTATTATATTGTAAAATATTAATGAGACTTAAAGCACTGGATATGGTTAAAAAAATAGTTACAATTGTTGATTGTCAACAAGTCAAATGACAGTTTATGGTATTCTTCACATCTAAACTGAGTTATTTTATAATAAAACTGTAAATAAATTTTTTTCCTAAATGCTTAGTAAGCTTATTGACATCTGTTATTTTAGTTTAATAGGCATTAACTAAAGAAATACATCTAAATGTAATGTCAAAACTGCTAAAGAGAATTTTTTCTAAATTTAATTTTCATTCCTTTAGCTTTCTTCAGTTAAGTTAAATTAAAGACATATGTGATATTTACACTTTGTAAGCATCTGTCATAACTTATTTAATATATTTATTTAGATGTTGAACAGAATTTTATATTGCTCTTCTAATCTCCCAGCTTTTTCTGCATTTAAAATCGGTGGTTTTGCTTTAACAAAAACTAGTTTTTTCTCTATGTTATTTATTGAGAAAGCAGTGTATAGTACAAAAATTTGGTCTAAGTCATAGCATATGAAAAATTAAGAGGATGTTATACAGCAAAAAAAGATTCTTCCTAGTAAATTCTCTTTAAACTATATATGTTTAACGTTAAGAAGCATCATTGCAAGATTGGAGAAGTGATCCTGCAATCATTTGTTTTAATTTTGATATTTTGAGGGGGGGGGGAATTTAAGCATTAAAAACTTCATAGATTATTATAGGTTTATCAAACTCACTTTTGACTTTACTTTAAATTTTAAAATAACTATAGAAGTAAAACAGAATTCGCCCTGAAAATGTTCTCCCATGGTATAGCAACCTCTTAATGCCTATTAGACTATCGTTTATCATTTGCTATTACAGTTTTTTAACTATAATATTACTTTTTGTCTAGTTTTGGTATAACTCCAACAACAGAGAAGATGTATCACCAAGGTGTAATGCGAACAAAAGTTGATGACTGCCAATTTGTATGCATTGCACAAAATGATTATTATCGCATCCTTCACCAAGGGGAGGAAAACACAAGAAAACATGAAGAAGATGGAGAAGTTGTTCTAGTCACTGAACATCGTGTTTTGGATGGCGGAAGCAGGAGAGGCCACATTGTTATTAGGGTAAGAAAAGAAATATTATTACTATGGTTTTAATTTCTTGATTGCAATTTTGATATTAAAATTTTATTTTTACTTAAAACTTTAAGATGAATTTTAAGTATTTTTAATTTGTTTTAGTAATAGTCCCTAAATTGTTCTTATATTTGCAACCCATAATTTTGTAGATAAAGCTGTGTTTGATTTGAATGTAAACTGTAAAGTTGAGCATTTTGGTATTAACATGCATTTTTATGTGATCAAAATTTTTAAATATTTGTTTTAAAAATGCATATTTTTAAAATTCTTATATTGTATAGCTATTATGTAATGTCTCGAATTTTAATGCATTATTATATTTGAATTTTTATTAATTGAGAGGTCATTTATGACTGTTTTGTATTATGTTCCATTATATTTCTTCTAAAAAGAATAATTTTAGTTTACTGATTATGCTTTTAAATTTATTTTTGATATCAGTTGATAAAATCAGTACCCCCCAGAGGTATTGATTTGTTATGTAAATGTGAAGGACTTTGCTACTCAACAGATCTAACATGCATCAGTCACCATTTACTACAAGGAGAATCTTCGGCCGGCCTGGAACCGAACTCATGAACTCTTGGTCATTGGCCCAGAGCCCTACCAACCAGGCTATCCTGGCCCATTCTTAGACACATTTTATCCGTCGTTGAACAGCCGACCCAATTTTGGGTTTACGACTACAAATGTTCAACTCCGTAGCCTTGTAATTTGAACCAATCTGGAAGACAAAGAAACTCCTGGATCAGTACCCCCAGAGGTATTGATTTGTTATGGGAACATGGAGGACTTTGCGACTCGACAGATTTAACATGCATTTACTACACGGGGAGTCTCCAGCCGGCAGAGATCAAACCCACAAACTCTTGGACATGGGCCCAGTGCTCTACCAACCAGGTTATCCTGGCCTCTTAGACACATTGTTAAAATTTTATGTATCTGAGGGAGAATTATTTAATGTCTAAATTTATTTACTTTCTTTATAGGGAACAATAGAACGGTTAATGGCCCATTTAGTTGAGGATAATGCCTTAGATCCAAGTTATGTGGAAGATTTTCTACTTACATATCGTACATTCATCGAAAATCCTCTTAGCATCACTGAAAATCTTTTGAGATGGTTTGCAGATCCTCATTTAAGGGATAAGGTATTTTTTCTGCTTTTATTAAAAATTTTTGATAAAGTTTTCTTCTTCAGTTTTATAATGGAAATGTCAATATCTTAGCTATTGAAGTTATAATTTTTTTTTAAATATGTAATAAATATTAAATGTTACATTATTGTATCAATATTTTTTAATATACATATATGAGAAACATAAATTTATTTCAAATAATAATAGTTTATGAATATATGTAAGAGTTTCAAATTTATCTTAGTCTTTGATATTAGTTCTGCTTTATTTCTTTGCTTTCTAAGTATTATTTATTTGCAAGAATACCTATTATTTACTGTCTAGTTTTTTTTCTTTCTTTTTATTTAAGAAAAAAAACGTGGAAATAAAAGTCATTGAAGCAGAATAGTTTTGAATTTGTTTAACTTAATTTATTCTACTTTTAATTTCTACAGGTAACTCGAGTAGTTCTGCTTTGGGTAAATAACCATTTCACAGATTTTGAAACAGATCCTGAAATGATGGAATTTCTTGAAATGTTTGAATCTGGTTTGGAAAAAGAAGTAAGTACTATTCATATGTTAGATCTTTTTTTTATTATTTCTTTTGAATAAATTATAATCAGTTTACTGATGTCTGTTTATAAATAAATTTTTTCTATTGGCCGAACGGAATTCAGATGTATAAAAATTGAGCTTTGAAAAAGATCTTTAAAATATCTATTCCAAAAAATATTATTGATTAATATTATAGAAACTTGTAAAACTGACTTAAGAAACTACAAAATGAGCAGAGGATGTTAATTAAAAAGTTTGTTTATTTTTTCAATTTTTTTTATTAAAATAATCAAAATTTAAGTTAAATATTTTATAAATTAAATTTTAATAGGTAAGTAAGCATTAAGTAGTAAATTCTTAAATTATTTCTGCTTTACAAAATATATGAGTTATGGAATTGATCTTAGTATATGCTATTATAATGACATGATTTATTACATTTATTATAAGGACATTTTTGCTCTCTTGACTAAATCATAAAAAATATGTCATATTGTATTCACTATACCAAAAACTTCAGTGATTGGCAGATTTGTGATTTTACTGTGGTGCAGATGATGCATAATAATATTTTACCGCTTGATTTATAGTATGTTTCACATTTTTATCTTCAGAAACAGGAAATCAATAGTCTCAAGTTTCATTAAAATTAAAATCTCTAATTATTTATCACTTTATTTATTAGATTAATTAATTATTTCAAATAATTGTTTATTTCGCTTTTTTAAATGGTTAATTTTTATAATTTCAGAAAATGCAAAGTCAGTTAAGACTGTTAAATATTGCTTGTGCTACTAAAGCACGGAATAGGACAGTTACTTTGGCTAGGTCAACAAGAGATGAAGTCTTACATTTTCATATCCTTGGTGGTTATGAAAGGGGTTTTGGAGTTTTTGTTTCTAAAGTTGACAAAGGATCCAAGGCTGAAGAAGTTGGACTCAAAAGAGGGGACCAAGTAGGTTTTCTTATAGTTTTTATTGCAATTGCTCATAGCAAAAATATTGTATATTTTTAATTTCATTAATTAATAATTTGTTTNACCTTTAAGTTCCTATAGGTTCCAGATCTCCACCAAAGGTGGCCTTTATTTAATTTGTTGCAACACTTTTCTTTTATTTTTCATCAGACATTTGTTTATTTTTTAATAAAACTTTTTTTATTCTATTACTTTTCTTTATATTACTGCTAGTGTAATACTTTTTTTTGTAGTAGTGCAGATAGCTATGTGCATTCTATAAGCATAGCTACAACTAACTTTCATATCATTAATTTATGCATTTATTTAAAAGTATAAACATTTTCCTAAGAAAAAATATTTTAATCAATTTCTATATGCAATGTTTAAATTATAGTTTCATATTTCTTGTGTTGATAAATCTTAGCATTGATTATGTATTTCTTTGTATAATTTAGATTTTAGAAGTTAATGGACAAAGCTTTGAACACATGAGTCATGCTCGAGCTTTAGAAGTTTTAAGGGGAACAACACATTTATGTATTACTGTTAGGTCTAATTTATTAGGTATTGTTTCATAATAATATTCATCATGAAATACTCTTACTTCTGAAATCAATTAACTCAGTAATGAATTATATTGTCTTGCAGGTTTTAAAGAAATGTTAAATACCCCTGAAAACTCTCCGCGTTCAAGAAGTCGCAAAGCAGCCGAAATAGCGAGGTTACAACATGATCCTCAAGCCAGGTTATCAACACACATCGATTTTGGTGATATCGGTTTCCCCATTGGTGTCAGTGGATACCCATTGAGTATTGTGCCCATATTCCAAACCCCTAGCTCACCCCCTAACAAAGCTGTGAGATCCAGTAGCAATAACAGTGGTGACTTAAAGAAAGATGATAAGAAAGGGTTTATGACATTAGGACACAGAGCTAAATTGAAGAAAGCACTAGTAAAAATGATCATACCAAAGACTCTTAATCAGTAAGCTTTTTAATTCAATCTCCATTCATTAAAAATGATACCAAAAATTACGCACTTCTTAATACTATTAAATCAGTGTTTCCCAAGCTTATGACTTTTGTGTACCCTTTCTAAATTTTTCGTAACGCTGTGTACCACTATTAAAAAATGAATGTATTTTTTACTATAAAAAAATTATGCAAAAGTTAAAAATCACAAATGGCTGTTGACACAATTAATTGTTAACTGTTAACTCTGCAAAAAATGGCCAATAGAAAAATATGTAATGGTAAATTTTCATGACTAGCTTTGTTTTTAAATAAAATTTTTGAATTACTGGATGTCGATAATATTTTCCGCTTTGATTTTTACATTAAGTTGAAAGCCAAATCAAATTCACTAAAGCATTGTCTTCAACCTCTGCATACTGTGAAGTTTGAAAATATGATACATTTGCATTTGTGGCTCTCTTCTTCCATTTTATGTAAAAAAAAATATTGCTTATACTGTTATTTTATACAAGACTTACAATTTCCTTTATTGTTTTAGAGCAGTGTACATAAACAGTATTTTTAATGTTTAAAAAATATTATATGCAGTATGAGACCCCAAATCTGGGATGCTCAAGACCATGTTTGTATTTCCGATTTCAGGTGTGAATCTAAAATAGAACTTAACATAATGTGCAATAAAAAATATTTAATTTAATAATAATTTAGAATAAAGGTGAAATTTATTACTAATTTGCTGTTTTTCTCTAACTGCAAATTATTTTTAAACTAATTGGTTAGTTTTAGTTGCTTGAAATATTTTCGTGTTTTTTTACTTTAAGACTCCTATTATGTATTATTGTATGCTATTATTTCCAGTTAAGAGTTCCCATACAATAGTAAATCTAGTGTTGTATATAATAATATTTTAAAACTGTTCCATTGTAATTATTTTTGAGCTATACAAAGTTGTGAATGTTAAATAATAAACTTCTATGAATTGATTATGATATCAAAGTATAAATTAGTGTTGAAATTTATTTTGATATCTTTTTTCTACTCATAGTTTTGTCTTATTTATTTATGACATATTTATGCTTTATTATCGAGATTAAATTTTATTTCTGAATGAAATGTCTAAGCATATAACACTTAGTTCTTTATGAAATCAAAAAAAATAATTTTTCCATCTTTTTCAAATTATTAGCCTATTCATTCAGCTCTGAAATTCCGAGTAAAATCAAGTTGTGTAAAATCAATTCCGAGGGTAATCAAGCGAACTATATATTATTTACTGTATACTATACAAACTATATAAAATAAAACATTCCTGCAACAGCCCATTGTTGGCTGGACAGTTCATAGTGGTTACAGCTCCGCGATTTCATGACCCAAGTTATGATTGTGGTCAGCACTGTGCACAGGACACCTCTACTTCCCATACAAGCTGGAATTTGGGTGGGCTTCAAGCCGTCACTTTTGAACTAGCCCATGTGACAGTTTAGCACTTTAACCTTTGAGCCACCTTGGAGGCTAAAGTAAAGAATGGCCTACAAAACATTGACTAATTTGCAAATTTTTCAGTAATGTTAGGAAAATTGCCCTCTTTTTCAAACTAAGACAGATTTTGAAATAATTTTTTTTTTTCCTTTTGTGCATATTATTATTATTTGTGACCCTGTAAGCTCTAGATTAAAAGAGTAACAATAATAATGTGATCCCTTTGTTATTGTACACATTTAAATTGGTAGTACTTTTAAATAATCTTAACTGTATGTTTTCTGATGATTATTTAAAAATTTGGTTCCAATAAGGTCCAAACACATATATAATATTATAGCAAAGTATTCCTTTTATAAATCTCAAAAATTCTTGTTTTTTCCACCTAAATGTTTTTCCAAGTTTTACTGGTTGTTAACAAATGCTTTATTTATGGCTTGAGCGGGATTAACAGTACTGAAAAATTAGAAAATCAGCTCCTGTGACTAACTTATGTTATGAATTATCAATGCATATAATATCTTAATAAATTTAGTAGAATTGTTGTGTATAATCTCCTTTTTTGTATTTTTTTAGCGAATCTCAACTCAACAGTTCCGATGATAGTCTTTATTCAATACACAGTGGCAGTAGTGGTGGATCTGGGGGAATAGTGGTTCGAACTTCATCTCCTCATAGGACTGCTGGTGGAACTTTGTACCACAGTCACAGCAATCCTGACCTCTCATCAGTTATTGCCATAAACGAACACACAGTCTCTTTAGACTACCCTGAACATGTCCTGAAAGTCTATAAATCAGACCAGACCTTTAAGTTCCTCCTTGTTCATAAAGTAAGATTTTCTTATTTGTTTTATTACCATTTTTCAATTTTTGCTTGGTTACTTAATTAAAGAAATTAGTCTGTTAAATTGTATTGTGTTGTTATAATATATATTAAATGGATTTGAAGAAAAATGGCAATGGCATTTTGCTAAATATTTATGCATTAGTAAAATAATTTACATTTTGTTGATGGAATTTTTTATTTCTTTTTAATTTCTTTTTTGATTGAATATATTAACATTCTCGTGTGGTACAGCTAAGCTTACCTCTCTTACATTAAATTATGTGCTCAAACTAATCCATTCCTAAACTTCCATTGAGGTGACTTAGATTCAAATTTTGACAGTGGCTGGTCATTTCTCATACTGCTACTTCCTCCCAATTGACTGACAAATCCGGGGTTAGAATTTACTTGCTGTTGGGTAATCATAAGAGACTTTTGTCCTTTTTCTCCATAAAATGCAAATGCCAGTAGATTCGCCATCCAAAAACCCTACCTGAAAATAGGGTTGTCTTCACTACTTGATCCAGAGATTCTCTTGTCTTCCAAGTGGAGTAAAATTTGCAAGGCTATGCTGTTGAATATTAACAGCTGCAAATAGAGCTGGCCAGTGACAAAATCTTCCTCCTTAAAAGAAATCTGTTTCAAATAACTGTTCAATAATTTAAAAAACAATGTTTTCATTTCTTTTATTTGATAAATTGCTGTAAAACTTTGAGAATTAAACTATCAATCCGAATGAAAATATTTTCAAAGAGATAAATGTAATAAATAGTAGTCATTTATTCATAAAATGTAATTAAATTGACATTTTTTTAGGAAACTACTGCCAGAGAAGTGGTTATGCTATCTCTGAGAGAATTTGGCATTACAGATCCCAGTAGGTGAGCTCTAAATTCAATTTCTAGAGATCTGAATTGCGTTTGTATTGCTCTTTGTGATTTCAAGGAACTTGTAATCTTTAAATGCTTATAATGTTTAATCTTTCAGTAACTATTCTTTACGAGAAGTATCTGTTGGTGATGGAGGTGTTGTGAAACAACGAAGACTGCCTGATCAACTTCAAAATTTAGCAGAAAGGATCGGGCTTAATAGTCGATATTATCTTAAAAATAACTCCTCCACAGAACCGCTTGTTCCTGACGAATTAGCCACCGTAAGTTTATTCAAGTTAATGTTCTTGTTTTTAATTCAAAATCTCTATGATTCTTTGTCCGTAAATTGTCTCATTTTTTACATTTTGTATGCAATTTATTTAATTGTATTAATAACTGTGAAATTATTATGAATGCTATTTTTGTACTTTTCTATTTAATAATTTAGTTAGGAAAAACTTAAATTAATTTACTCATGTTTAAACTTTGTTACATATAGTGGTCTCTCATTTGATTAATAAAATCAGTTTGTAGTTGATTTAGCTTTTTCTCATTTTAATGTCTGTTTTAAACAGGGCTTAGTATATAGTACTTATTGGATAATGAGATAAGTTCTTTTATATATTTGTGGTCATAACAGGGATTTTTTTTTAAATAATTTTAACAAGCAGTTTTTATTATTGTCTTCAATAATGACAGCAAAGTATAACCCCTATTTTTTTTTTACTAATGAGAGTCCTTTGAAACTCTAGAATGAATTTTAACTGGAAAAGCTGAGTGAATAAGACTAAATAAAACATAGTCTGTGGATGCATCTATCTATTAAAACATGGTTCATTAATAGAAAGAATTTTTTTTTTTAAATTCATTTATTAAAACTATTTTAAGAATTTACATCTCTCTGATTATTGTTAAAGAGAGAGCAATCTGTAGAAAATACTGATGTTAATAACCCTGATGTTGCAGTTAAAATGATGCAAAATATCCAATTTATGTATTAAAATACTTTGTTTTCTAATTTTCTCATTATATATGTGATTGAAATATTCAGTTGAAATTTAATTCAATTTAAACTGTGCTTCTAAAAATCAAGAAGTAAATAGTTAAAGAAGCCTCATATTGCATTCTTTATTGTCTTTAGGAACTTCTTCGAGAGAGTCAAGTGCACTTTTTACAATTAAATAGTGTAGAAGTAGCCACACAGTTAACCTTAGAAGATTTTAGCACATTTAGACAAATTGAACCTACAGAATATATTGATGACCTGTTTGAAGTTACTTCAAAATATGGAATTCCTCAACTTTCAAAATTTGCTGAAGTAAGTTAGATTTATTAAATTTGATTTGTTCAATTCTATTATATATACACAATATATTCTCGACAAAAACCTCGTTATGTCAAAAAATATTTTTCCCTTGTCATTACATAATCACCTAATGTTAATTTGAATTCCTATGCCGAAAAGTTTCTTCTGAAAACTTTGTTATGTCGAATATTTTTCATTATAGAAAATGAATTTTTTTTTTGGAAAAATCAACAATGTAAGTTTATTGTATACCAATTCTTTTCTATTTAATGTATAATTATTTTTGCCCTACTTTTAAAAATTATCATTGCTGTATTTAGACTTATAGACAACTAATCATTACATACAGAATTATTAATGGTTATTCTTATGTTTATATGACTACTTTTTAGAACATATGTAGCTCTGATCTTGTCTCGAAAACTTGATATCTCGAATTTTTTTTCACTTCTCTTCAACTTTGAGATAGTATACTATATATATTGAGAAATATCTGAGTTATTAAAGTAAGATTTCTCAATCCAGCGTTAATAAATGTTCCCTAAAAATTTCATCCAAAAATACTCATTTCTCAATTTTTTATATTGATAATTTTCAGTTCCTTTTAAAATCGTAAATTTGACTCTACTACAAAATTAGGTAAAATTGAAACTACCTATCTCTGCATACATTTTCTAACACCTTTAATTTGATTTTGTTTTGATTATATATTTGTAAATATATAGTTATCTTAGGAGATATGAAAACTGTTATGACGACTTCTTAGAGTTATCTAAGATAACTAATTATTTTCAAATTTTAATTTTACAGTTGGTGAATCATGAGATGTTTTGGGTAGTCACTGAAGTATGTGCTGAGCATCAACTCATTAGAAGAATGCGAATTGTCAAGCAGTTTATTAAAGTTGCAAGTATGTGTTTTTTGTTAATTTTCTTCCTTTGTTCTTAGTGTTGCTCTTGTCCTGTACTAGATGCTATCATTAAGTAACTGAATTAATTGAGCATAAAATAATATGTCTAGTCACTAGACTTAGATAAAATGAAAAGCTTGCTGAAAAGACAAAATCTCAATTTAAAACATTCCGCGTTCATTGATTAAATATTGTAACTAGTTTCAACCCTTACGTCGCCACTTCATTTAGGCGAAATTTGTTTGAAATCTTAGACTTTTTTAAAAATGTTTAATTTTTATAGAACTCTATACTTATTTATGCCACAAGTTTGGTAAAAAGCTGAAAATAGAAATCCAAAAATTTATGTGCATGAACACTTTTTAAATAATTGAAAAAATACCCAATATTTGAGCAAGAAAAAATTTTACATAGGAAACATACACACAATTAGATTATGAATCTCGACATTTAATTTTAAAATCGAAAGAATGCGAATCTCTATGTTTAATTTTTAAAGTTGTGTAAATACGAATTCCAATGTGTAAATTTCAAGCCAATTGAACACGAATCATAATCGTGGTTTTTAAGTTTTGTGAATACAAAATACGGTGTTTGATATAAAATTTTGACAATACGAAACACGATGTGTACGCTTAAATAGGATTTGCAATGTGTAATTTTAAATCTTGTTTGTATTGGTAGGAAAAAGCGTAAATATTAATTTTCTTTTTTCCTCGGGAATTCAAAAAAGCAAACTTTCTTAGACGAAGCTGATGTTTTCTTTTTTAGTAATAGTAACAAAAATTTTCCACGATTGTGACACATTTTCCGCTAACAGCGTTTGTATACATTTTACGAGTCTGTTAGTCAGTATACAACTGTTCTTGACCGTTTGACTTAGGCTTCTCAAAGAGTTTGCCTACTTTAGCTTAATATGGGGATATTATTGACTTAAGGTACAACCTGAGTTACCCCAGTGATTCTTCTTTAGATTTTAATATGAGTGAGTAATGTTCATTGCATTTGGTGTAATTGAGTTTATTTTAGTTATTTGGCGCTCTACTCAACACCCTGTTACTTTATATTATAAAGAAAATGGTTGTCAACCTTTTCATACCTAAGGGTCAATAGAGATCTAATTGGTGTATTCAAATTCAATAGAAAATTGCTATGTTTATTCTTGATACTAATTGCAGACCACATATAGACTTCCTATAAACAACAACTCAAAAAATCCTTGTTCTGACAATTAGTCAAAAAATTAATAGGCTCTATTAATCTTAGCTAACTAAAGCTAATTGTTCTAGTTTCTATTCTCTTATAGTTGGTATTTTCAATGTTATGTGAAATGTTTTTTTTAAAAAAATGATAATTCTTGTGATATTAAAATTACCTTTTCCTGCATCATATACAACAAAATGATTTTTTTTTATGTAAATTCCATTGTTTGTGTAAAATTCCTTAATTTTGAAAAAAAATTTCATAATCTAAGTTTTTCTACATTTTTAATATAAATGAAAGAAATTATGTTTAAGAATACCAAATAAATAATATAAACTATGCATCACTAAACTTGACACAAGCTTTAAAATTATGGTTTTTAAGAGTATAATTATAAAGATGATGAATTGATGTTAAAAGAATAGGAATAGCGTATATTAGCATTTTGTTTGTAATACTAACAATATTTAAGATTCAGAGATCGTAACATGTAAAATAATGTGGATTTTTCTATTTATTTATTTTTAAATGCGTGAATGTATGAGATGAAAATACAAAAGCTTGTGATAAGTATTTTGATGACTGAGATCATGGAGTAACTAGACTAGTTGAAGGCTTTTTTTAAATGTAAAATTGATTTATTGTTGATCTTTTTTTTTTTTAAGTGATTGATAAAATTCTATGATGCTAAAATTTTAAATTTATTTTACTTAGTCTTGTTTTAACAATATTTATAATACTTTGCTGAATACTTAAGAAACTAATAAATTTCCTTTAAACATTCAAATTTATATTACTTATCAATGTATAAAATCTATATAAAATACATATGTATTTAAATTTCATTATAGCAGTATCTTTCTATGTTTAATACTGTGGTTGTAATTGGCTGTTTAGGTTTTTTACCCTTAAAAAATAATGTAAAATCTATTAATAAATTTTTTTAAAAAATAACCGATTCTTTCTTCTTTCTGTTTTTTTTTTTTTTTTTTTTTTTTTTTTTTTGGTAAAAAAAATCTTACTGAATTATTGATATTCCTTTTTAGGACAATGTAAAAACTGTAAAAATTTCAATTCAATGTTTGCTATTCTGAGTGGCTTAGGACATGGAGCTGTTTCAAGATTGAGAACAACATGGGAGAAACTCCCCACCAAATATCAAAAAATGTTCTCTGTAAGTTAAATCTTTTGTATTTGAAATATGTAGTCAGTTTTATTTACTTATTTTTAAGTATTGAAATAGTAATACATATTAATTAATTTCTAAATTATAAACACATGAATGATCTGTAACAAAATACCTTTACCTATGGCTTGAATATACATTCAGAAAATTTATTAATTTTTTTTCTTGTTTTCTATGAATATTAAATTATAAAGCAAAATTTGTCCCTTATTTAATAGTTTGGAAAGATATTTTATTTTGTGTGAAATGTTTTATAGTAACTTAACAATATCTACCAACTTAACAATCTGGATGTCTAAAAACAATATATTTATTTCAACTTAACAAACATAACTAACAATTGTTTCATAGTTATTTAGTTATGTTTTCTTTAAGATTTATAAATAGGTATTAATAATTTTGTTTTGCTCAAATAATATCTGTTATTTTTTCTACTAATTTATTATTTCTTTAAAATATCTCTTGTAAGACATGTGATTTAAAGATTATAATACAATTTTTAAAATCCTCTTTTAAGGATTTGCAAGATTTAATGGATCCATCTAGGAACATGTGTAAATACCGCAGTCTTCTGAATAGTGAACACACTCAACCCCCTATCGTAAGTATTTTTACTTAAATTATGTATTATTATTTATTGCATCATCACCAAATAATCGCAAGCCTGTGTGAGTCATTAGATGTTTACCTCATTTGAATTTTTTTTTTGTATGGGAAATGAAAGTTTAAATTAGTGGTTATTTCTAGAAACTGATAAAATTTTTTTTTTTTTTTTTTTTTTTGTAAAAGAAACTGTACTTATTATTTGAGTTTTTATCTTTCGACAGCAAGATGATAATAGCTGTATTTTGAATTTTTCAAGCATTATAATAATTTTTTACCTTCATTTATTGAGCTAAAATAATTTTTCAAAAATTTAGTTGAAGTTGGACAATAATGATAAATAAGATATTAAGTTCTTGAAGGAAAAATAAAAACGGAATCTGTTTCTAATTATGGAATCAGTTTGTAAATCTATAATTTGTGATATGGCATTTGGCAACCACAATTTTTTTCTGAGAAAATGTGTTTAAAACGTTTGTTAAGTAATTATGGAGTCTATAGTTTTCACTTTTAATAGTGAAACTTGTATTTAAAGGGAGTTACATGCAGTATAAGTACATTTATTCAAAATGTTTTTACCAGTTTAAATCTTAATAAAAACTTAATCGTAATTCAGGTTTTTAAAAGTTAAATTATGTTGTTGTATGTTTGGTGTTAAAGAATGAACTAGTACTTTTTAGAATAAATTAGTTAGTTAGGGCTAGAAGTAGAAAGTATTAAAACAATGAAAGTGTATAAATATATTTACTTTAAGTCTAATTTACATCCAACTAACACCTAAGTAAACATTATAATTTAAATGGACTCACAGACAGCTGGCTAATTTTTTCATTATATTATAAAAAGGTTTTTTCTTTGTAACTATCTGTAAGTCTTCTGCTTTACCATATTTTGTTTTTTTTTTCTTCATAGATTCCATTTTATCCTGTCGTTAAAAAAGATCTGACATTTATTCATTTGGGAAATGACACTTTTGTAGATAATTTAGTAAGTATTAAAAAATATTGAATTTTCAACTGATTTTTTAATGTATAATGTCTGTTAAATGCTGTTTATTTTCTCTTCTCCCAATACTTTCTGATAAAGAACAATTTATTCTAATAATATTTTCTATTTTGTCTGAATTCTTAATAATTGTTTATTTTTTAAAAAAAAACCTTTCTGTAAGATTTTCAAGTGATTTCATTTCCTGAATTTTTAATTATTATAGGTAAATTTCGAAAAATTGCGTATGATTGCCAAAGAAATCCGTCAACTGATGAATATGTGCTCTGCTCCATATGTAAGTTGTTCTATTTTTAAATAATTATATATTTTTAATTGCTATTTTTATGTAATTATATATTGAAAGTCTTATATTTATTTTAACCGGCTATATAAATATATTTTTCTGCTAAATATGGTACATTACTCAGGTTTCTACAGTGGGAAAAATAGTTCTAATAATTATGGTAACACATATCCGTTCAAATGATAAAAATTTGCAAATTGTGCTACAGTAGGTAACCGATTATCTGGAACAATTGGGACCATCGCTATTCCGGATAACTGATTTTTCTGGTTTTCTGAAACGCTACAAAAAGCCGTTTTTTTTCTTGTTAAACCCAACTAAAAAAAGTATTTGGAAATGATCTTAAAAAGAAGAAAAAACGATGAAGTAATACACTAATGATTATTTCCAAAATGATGCAAAAAAGAAAGAAAAATCCTAAAATTTTATGAGGAAAAAAAAAATTTTTTTTTTTTTAAAAAAATGGCGGGAAAATTTTTCGAATTTCATTCCGGTTTTCTGATTTCCGGATAACGGGTTCTGTACTGTACATTGCAGTTAATTGATTATCAAAAAAATCTCGCACTTGACAAATAATGTCGGACAAATGTGTGTTAATTTGTTGTATATGTAATTTACCTAGTTATTTATAGTGCTTATGGAAATTGATAATTTATTATTTTTTCATTATTATATTTCTCTTTCATTATTTTTATTAATTTCAAGCTTTTTAATTTCAGGATTTATTTAGCATGTTGGAAATTGGTGGTGCTCATCCAACTGCAGCAATGGCTTCTCTGAACAGTTTTGCAACAACTACAAATGCTGCAACTGTTAAAAGAAGAAAGAAAAGTACTGCCCAACCTAATCCCAAGAAAATGTTTGAAGAGGTTATTAAAAAGTTTTAATATCCTAATTTAATTAGTTAAGAACCTAAGTAAAATTGATTTAAAAAAAATATTGTGCTGTCTTTTTAGATGTTTAAATTTTTTTATATTTAGTAAACCCAAATTTTCAGTTGTGATAGAAATTTCACTTTTTTTTGTCCTTAGATTTAAGGGGAAAAGGTTTAATGGCAAAAAGCAGGATGTTCTGTTAATACACGGGGTGCTTAAAAATTTTTAGCAAAAATATTCATATAAAAAGAATAAAAGACAGATTAGAGGGATTTGCAAATATATTTAATATATAAACACATAAAACAAACATTCTTTTGCATCATTTTATTTTAACGGTGTCATTAAGATTTATCATGCATTTCCTCACATAATACAGACCTTCTCAACCTACTATAGAAGATGCAATAAGTTTTGTCGGACCAGTGTAGTATGTGTCTGGGATTCATTACGTAAATTTTAGAAACTGTGTCACTCCATGCCGTATTGATGTAATGCATGTCTCCAGACTTCGAACTTTGAGCATTTCCTGTTGTAGTAATAGTTTCAAGTATAGCATTATAAGACAGTACTATAGACTTAGTTTTATGCCGTACTTTATAAAAGCTTTAAAGCCAAGACCATTACAATTATCCATTTTTTTATATATATATATTTACCATCAGATTTACTATTTGTTGTACGAGTAAAAGGATATGTTAGAGTTACTATAGTTCTACTAGCATGAAACTTTTTAAGTATTAAACATTTTTAAAATTAAACCTACTTTTGCTTCTTAAAATTAAAAAAAACAAGTTACTTTTTAAGACTAATTTTCTAAGTATCTTCTGTTTAGGCACAAATGGTACGCAGAGTAAAAACTTATCTCTCGAATCTTAAAGTAATATCAGATGAAGAGAAACTTCGAACAATGTCGTTGGAATGTGAACCTACTACAACAGCCATGCCGATGGTTATTCCTACTGTTCCTCAAGTTCAACCACCAAGAAAAAGACATCCATCCCCTACTCTATCTGCAACCAGCTCTACTAGCAGTACTTCTGAAGGGAAAATTTCTCTCAATGCTGGCCCTAAGTTTGGTAAGCATGATTTATGTTTAACTTACATTATAATTTCTACTTGAAACAACTATAAAGTGTTACATATAACTGTACAGTAGTGTATAGCCAAAAGTGCCAAATCATTTATCAAATGTAGTAAGAGATTCAAATTTGACATTTCTANGCAGCAGATATCTAATTGTTAAGATATAAAACTTTAAAAAGGTTGGTATTAAAACTTACTCAAAATGTTCAATGACAAAATTGAGGTTTGCCTGCTGCAACCACCAGAGAATAGATATTTACATTTTAAATTTACAAATGCGTGTGTAAATATTTTCGTCCAAAATGAGTGGTTTCAAAAAGTTAAATCGGAAAATTTCTGATACACACATGCTAAGTTATATTCACAAAATACAAAAAAATGAAATAAAAAAGAGCAACATACACGATTATTTTTGTATTTGAAAAAATATTTTCTTGGCTGCAAAACCTGAAAAATAAATTTCTTTGCTCTGTTGGTATGTTAAATTTCACAGAAAGGAAGTAATTAGGTTTTTATTAACGAGAACAGTATTTTAAACCCATATAGATTTTTTACGAAAATTGTCGCAAAAAATGACAACTAATATAATTTAGTTCACGGGCAACAAAAAAAGGCTGCACGGGCCGAATGCGGCCCCCGGGCCGCCAGTTGGAAACCCCTGTTATAAAACCTTAAATGCCAAGACCGTTACAATTATCAATTTTATTAATATTTACCATCAGATTTACTATTTGTTATACCAATAAAAAGATATGTTAAGAGTTACTATAGTTCTACTATAGTAGCATGAAACTTTTAAGTAGTAAACATTTTTAAAATTAAACCTACTTTTGCTTCTTAAAATTAAAATAAACAAGTTACTTTTTAAGACTAATTTTCTAAGTATCTTCTGTTTAGGCACAAATGGTACGTAGAGTGAAAACTTATCTCTCGAATCTTAAAGTAATATCAGATGAAGAGAAACTTCGAACAATGTCATTGGAATGTGAACCTACTACAACAGCCATGCCTATGGTTATTCCTACTGTTCCTCAAGTTCAACCACCAAGAAAAAGACATCCATCCCCAACTCTATCTGCAACCAGCTCTACTAGCAGTACTTCTGAAGGGAAAATTTCTCTCAATGCTGGCCCTAAGTTTGGTAAGCATGATTTATGTTTAACTTACATTATAATTTCTACTTGAAACAACTATAAAGTGTTACATATAACTGTACAGTAGTGTATAGCCAAAAGTGCCAAATCATTTATCAAATGTAGTAAGAGATTCAAATTTGACATTTCTAAAAAGTTTTAATCCATTTATCGTTTAATTTAAAAACATTTGAAATTAACTACTCAGTACATGAATTTATTTAAGTTTTCTTAGTTTGCTTAATTATCTACTCATCTTTATCTATTCAGATGATCAAAAATGTTTAATCTTAAATGCTTTTTGCTTCGTATACATTTATAAAAAAGAATAACTTTTATTTTAATCTAAAAAATAAGATGAAATAAATATAATTTAGTAACCCTGTATTTTATATATTTATATTTTTTATATGTAGTTATGTTAAAATTATATTTGTGATACTGAGGAAAAAAATTTATTAGGCTAAAATGGTTTTAACCAAATAAATTTTAAAAGTTTTGATAAAACCTACTTTTTAAAGCTATTTCAGTTTAAAAAGTTTTTAAGTTAATATTATTTTTGTTTAATGTTTAAAATGTTTTTGTTTTTATTTTATTTATTTATTCTGGATTATTTTTATATTTTTAAATTAATATTGCTAGCACATGGAATAATGTCGATCGAAACTTTTTTGAACTTTTGCTTGCTCAAAATTAATTAAAATAATCCTTNGTACTCAAATGTCTTAGTGTAGTTCTAAGTTTTTAAATTTATTTTTTATTTTTTTTTTTTTAATAAATTTTTTAGCTCTGTAAATGTTTTTTAAAGCATTATCAATTACTTTTAAATCCCTGTACTAATTTATATGGTTGTCATCATTAATTGTTGGGTTATTTGTTTTTCAGTTTGTATTATAGTTCAGTTTGTGTTAAAATTAACTTAATAAAAAAAATATTCACAGCATTGCTTATAACTTGTTTAAGTCATAGAAAGTTATTAAAAACTCTTGATTTTTACATATACCCTGTATTTATTAGTAAATTCATGAGCAATGTTGTTATTCTATGCAGGTACATTAGGCATATATCTATATAGAATTCCATAAAAACTTCTTTAAATTTGAACTATTTGAATTTTGCTAATGTTATATGTATTATTGTACTTCCGATTACGGATGGTTAGTACACAGTTTGTATTAATTTTACGGATGCAAATTGGCACTTCTGTATTGCTAAATATATTTATATCAGAATAAGAAGTCCTCATTGCATGAAGGGATCTGAGACCTAATGGCGATTTTAAATCAATTCATCAAATGACTAGTTTTGTGTTCTATCAATAAATGTGAAGTCCACAATCCTAAGTTTCAAACTGAGTTTTGTAACTGAACAAAATAATTAAGTTTTACACAGCCTGATTTATTTTATATACTTGCTGAACCCTTTAATAGAAAAGTCATTAAAATTAATTGATTTGAGAAAATTGTATAGTTTATTTAGTGTTAACTAGAAAACCTATTAAACAATGGTTTCTGCTGCAAATCGGACCATTTCAAGAAATATTTCTAATCAGTAATATAATTTATTGTTTAACTTACTCATGAAAAAATTTTGTAAAAAACTATTTGTTAAATAATTCCATCAAACAAATCAAAAGTTTATACAAAAAAATTATCCTTTTTTTTTCTCCCCCTTTTAATCTGCTCATTAACGGACACTAAGGCAAAATGGAAGATATTGGTTGTTTTAGTTTGTTTTATTGAAAATTAGAAAAAATAGGATTGGTTCTTTTAAATTAATTGAGTTTCAATACCAGGTGCTGACTCTCCTCAAGCTGTCCGAAAGTTGCTTGCCCTCTCGGATCAGAGCAAAGTCCGTCCGCACCAACCCCCTCGTCACCATCATTCCCTGTCTCCGTCTCCATCTCCGAATGCTATTAGGAGAAAACATGATGGGAGACAAGGTCACGGCCGCTCCCACAGTGATACTGCAAATCCGTCAGTGCTACCTGTTGATCTAAGTGCTGAAAGTTCTAGTGTCACAGCTCTCAGTAATCTTCCATTAAGAAAGTCACAAACTTCTGGTAAGTTTAAATGAAATTCACGTACTTACTCTTGGTGAGCTTTCAGAGCACAATGTAGTAATTTTATCAAAATTTACAATAGTAAACGATACAAGCGTTAGGTATCTCATGTTTAGTACAGTAAACTCCCGATTATCCGCAGGTGGATCTTCCGGACTTCACTTTTTTTTTCGCATTGATTAACAATATGGCATTTAGAGTTGAAAATAAATAAATTCATAGAGATTGAACTATTTTAAGAATAACATACTAGTAAACATTTATGTTCGTAACCCAAGTGTTCACAATTAATCAAATAATAGTCTAGAAATAAACATGTTGAACCTTTCAGTGCAATACCTAAGTAAAAATAAGAATTGAAAATGGTGAGGCATTGGTAAAGAGCAAGACAATGAGCATGATTTACTGCTGTCAAACTACAAATGCAGGATGACATTCAAATTTCAATGAATAGATTTTGCACCCATCAAAGCAGATTCTTCTCCTGTATACTTTTTTTTATTCAAAGGAATGTTATTGATATCAAGTAAAGAAATTTAGTTTTTTTTCTGTTTCACCTTTACATGATGAATGGGAATGAATTATCCTCAATCATTAATTTAGTCAACATGTAACACATTCTTTGAACTCTTATCAGTTATAAAATTGATAACTAACAATTGAAGGTCCCTTTACCCCTTAAATGAAAAGAATGAAATAGGGTTTTTTATAATTTATTGGTCATATGCATGATTTCAGAATTTTAGTCAGTTGTTTATCTTTAGTTTTGTTACTGATAAGAGTTTCTAAAAATTGCATTTATGCAGTAACTCTTTATAAGAACTAATTCATGTATTCCGATTGTTGTTTTGTGCATTCTTTTTCAATACTGTCTGAACTCCTGAGTTAAAAGTCTGCTTGTGCCTGTTTTGTTTTAGCATCCTGCTTTCCAACAACAAGATGACAGGCTTTTTCTTATAGAAATTTTAAAAAAATTTTATCAATGAAAATGTAAAGAAACCTGCTAATAATAGGCATTGAAACAAATCATTTTAAATTTCTAAGCATCGAGCCTCGGCAAAATTTTTCGGAAATTTCTCTGCTATGCACTACTGTTCCATTGAATAATATGGGGAAATATATTTTTTTGCTGTGGAAAAGTCACCAGCTATAAGTGAGGGAAAGATGGATAGTGAGGCCCAAAATGTTTAATAAATAGAAATTATAAACCTAATAGCAATAAAAAAAATTATAGTCAGATAAAAATCAATCTTGCATGACACAGTTTATATCTTCATTGATTTATTTCCATGTTTCATTATATCATGTATTCATAAGAATAATTTTCAATTCGAATAAAGGGTAATGAACTATGCACCTTATTAAAAAAAAGGTTTATTTTCAGTGAATTATAACATTATAAATGCACATAGCAATTTTTTATAATAACTTATCACAATTATTTTGTTACGTTATTTATGTTACTGTTTTGTAATTTATGTCATTGTTAGCTTATTAACACCATATGATAATTTTAGGGCATCATTATTTATTAACTAATTTATAAGAAAAAAATTTCAATTTATCAATGCTGTTTGTCGCTTCAGGCTTTGTTATATCACTCTCAGTTGTAGTAGATGTATTTAAGATTATGTACTCTCTTAGTAGTTCTTAAAAAAGAAAAAACCTGTCAAATTATAAGAAAAATACCTCATATATTTTATATAAATCTTTTTTTTTTAATTTAAAAGTTTTTATTTTCCTTATAGTAATATATTGAGATTAAAACTAAATATTAAAGTGTTCTATTAAATTCACTAAATCAACTTCGTTATTTTAGGTTCTGTGACTTCAAGTGATAGCAGTAGTACGAGCAGTTATCATCATCATACCCTTTATGAGATTGATTCTGGACACGCCACAAGTTTAGATAGTCACAGTAGTAGCTCTCTAGGGTCATCCAATTCCCCACCTCAACAAAGAAATCAACGTACTGGTAAAAAATAACTCATATGATTGCTTAATAATTAATATTTTAATACTTTTTTCCATCAGTCATCGTTTCAAACTGCAATGTGTTCTTATGAATAAAATTAAACAATTTGTAAAGAGCACAGATCCCAATCAATCATCATTTCAAACTGCAATGTGTTCTTATGAATACAATTAAACAATTTGTAAAGAGCACAGATCCCAATCAGTCATCATTTCAAACTGCAATGTGTTCTTATGAATAAAATTAAACAACTTGTAAAGAGCACAGATAGTAGTACCACATAAACTAACCTACTATAGTTTTGAATCTGTTATAAAAAGAATCTTCTTCCGAATACTACACTGAAAAAGGTTTTAGTCATTCTAAGTTTGAATCTTCATTATTTTCCCCCTTAATACGCATGTAATTCTACCACTAATTTGAGGACTTTGGTGAATCAATTTATATTTTGACAATATTTTGTCTGAGTTCCGCTAATCTAAAGTTAAATTTTTCTTACTTATGCAAAATCTTGTCGATGAGGCATTTATTCCACCCTCTCTTTTTTTCTAAGTCCTCATTTACGCGATGTAAGGAATTTTTTTACGCAGATTTGTTAGAGAGAAAAACGCAACTTCAGATAAACTGCTGGGAAAAACTTTTTCATAGTAACTAGAAGTAATGAATACTGAAACAAACACAAGAGTATAAAATTAGTAATGTTAAAAGTAATTTCAAAATGGTAAGCATTTAAAAGATTATTCGCTGTAAAAAAAAAAAATTTTAAACTTATATTTCAACTGGGTGCGTAGCGTTTTTAAAAAGTGCTTAAAGGTGCTTGTTTTCGTTTTTTAAAAGCCCTTAAAGGTGCTTTTTTATTGGGTGTAGTGCTTAATTTTCCCTTTTCGAAAATGAGATTTTTTTAATCATGTCTGATGAAATACTTTCGGGCCCGCACGTGCATATACTGAGCTGGATTCAGTGGGTATTATTCTTGCACTCACTCTGCTGCCTTTTGCAAGAGATTTTCAATTTCAGGCTTCATTTTCCATCCTCTAAAATCGAACCGAAAAATCTTATCTTTTTATGGTGGCTAATGTAATCGAGAAAAGAGTTCTTAGTCTGAAACTAGTCATTTTATCATGATTATGTAAAGTCTTTAAAAATTATTCTGCATTTTGTTAATGTATATAGTGCTTAAAAATATTTTTAGTGCTTGAAAGGTTATTTTTGTTAAAAGATTTGGCTATGCACCCTGTTTAATTATTGATTTTGATTTGTAACAGAAGAATTATTTAATCAATGTGATATATTTACTATCCTTTTTATTTGGCTTCAATTAGATTGAATTAATTTTTAATATTAAGACATAGAATTCTTGAATCGCATATTTCAGTAATCACTTTTCAGCACACTCAATACCATCATAAAATCAGTGTTTTGATCTTATTATTGGGTAATTAAAAAAAGTTTCTTTCTCTCCTTAAATTTTGTAAATGTTACTTTTGTGCATAAAAATGACAGTCTTTTAAATGTCTTCGATGTACAAGAGAAAAAAGAAATTAAGTACTAAAAGAAGAAAACTACACATTGAGAAAAAAATTCAGATAATTTATTCTTCCAGCCATCACATCTCTGCTTTCATTTTCAGGGTCACATTCCCCTCCAATGTTGCGGATGCGGTCCTTTCCCCATATGAGTGTCATGCCAACTATACCTGGATCACAAGGTAGGAAATACATGTTTATAGTAGTCTCTGTAGGTTATATCCATTAAGAATACAGGGAAGGTATTTGTTCAGTAGGAACTCAAAGCTAAGTTATGCAGAAACTATTTAACTTTCACAAACATCAATCAGGCATAATTGTGTCACTGAGTGGGAAAAAATCCTGAGAATTTTATGTGTAAAAAATTATGTACCATATTACAAAAATTATGAACTATATTTAACATAACTTTTTGAACCATTATTTTTAATTAAATTACCTTCTACTGCAGAATATCTCACCTTTAGAGTAACTAATTCAATTTGCTTTGTGCAAGAATCACGTGAATATGAATTGCGATGTTGGATTTTTAACTAGCGTCAAAGTCGTGATATTTGGTTTTAAAAACATGTAAATATAAATCATAATATTGGATTTTTAAATCGTTTGAATAGGAATTGTGATGTACGATTTTTAAATCGCGTGAATACCAATCGCAACACACCGCTTTTAAATCAGGTAAATACAAAAACGATGTTTGATATTAAAATTGCGTGAATAAGAATCGCAAATTCCGGCTCAGTTCCACGTATTCAAAATGGCAAAAATACGCCAAACCAGGCTCAAAAAAGTGTCTAAACATCTTGTTAACGGGATTTAGAACAAGCTTCAAAATTTTGTCTGATTATAAGTTTTTGATTCGTGGAAGTGTGCGAACCAATGGTACAGAATTCTGCGATATTCACACAAAAATCGCATGCCTTGCTTCTAGTTTTTAGACACTGTGAAATGATACGGAATTCCGAAGTACCCGTGAAATACAATCACCCCTGATCAATATCATTTCTTTGTTGCAAACATTCCCAGATAATAGCAACTATTTGTAGTCACTCCCAAGTCAACATTAAAACATGGCTAAAGAGAATTCTGTCGAATTAAAGAGTGACAACTTTGCTGGCAGACATTTTTCCTTGTTCGCAGCATGTTTATGAAATCATGAACAAACATTAAAACAGTGGGGTAACCTAAGCCATATGAAAGAATTAATCCAAATTATCATGGTATTTATATCACATTATTCATGAAATATTGATGCCAGGGTGTTTCCACATCAAATTAACCCATTGTCAAAATTTTATTTTAACCTTTTTTTTTAACATTATGCGCCTTAAATTTCAAGTTGGTAAAAATTACTTGGCAAATTGGTTGAGCCATATTTTATAAAATGCATTACAAAAGTAGATGTTTAACTCTTTATTCTCAAGTTAGAATATTATGTAATTGTAAAAGAGTTGCCAATTTTCAAAACTCTGAACATGGGCGGATCGTGAATTTGTGGGGCCCTGGGCTGAAACTACGTTGGGGCCCTAATAGCCATTTTGTCAAAAAACTGTTTTCTATATTGATATAGATAAGTATATGAATGTTCTGTTTTGTTCCTTGTACTTCTTTATTGAGTCAGAATATATATTTTTTGGATATTTATTTTGAAAGTCAGTCATTTCATGTGAGAGTATGTCATTAATGGTAGATAAGTATACAGAAAAAAATAGGACAATAAAAGAATTTTATAAATTTTTTTTATTTATTTATTAAACAGCAACTGGTCCCGTAGTGGACTGATCGTTAAGACACGGTTCCCAGCAGATCACCGAAGTCAAGCATCACTGGCTGCTGTCAGTGTGCAGGTGGGTGACCCACTTGGATCAGTCTGCTTAGGGACCGAGGGTGTGCGGTGTTGGTCCTCGTTAAACTGTGCTACCGTAAAGTGCTCGACTTCGCGNGTGCACCCTTTTGATCCCCTTGCGGGTATTTATGAATTTATAGCGCCTTTGTCATTAAATAAATTAACAAAATGAAACTACGTGAATGAATTTTTAAAAAAAGAAAAGAAAGAACGAAAAGAATCTTTGCGTAATGAGTGGTCAGTTTTCACTTTCTACTTTAGTAGAAAGTGATTGGTTTCCCCAGAAGATTTTCCTTCTAACTGGTCAATTAGCACTTACACCACTTCCCTACTCACAAGATTAGGCGGGGTCAAAGCGTTTGGGCGGGTCTCAAAAAAATTAAATGAAATAATGTGTTTTTTATCAATATCTATAATACTTATACGAATGAATTTTTTTTCAAATGCTTTGTAAAAATAGTTGCTTGATGGGCGCGTTGTCAAATATTTCAAAAATCTTGTAGTTTTCCCGCAAAAAGTAATTTAAAATTTCTCATTAAAAAAAAATGAATTTTCTTTAGCACTTATTATTTATTATCGCAAGAAATAATAAAAGACCCCGAAGCATATTTTTATTTTCTTGTATAAAAAATTAATTGTTATGATATATCCCTAATAGTTTTAATAGAAAAGGTAGCGAAAATTCCCCCATAGACTTAACATTACGGAGAGTTTTCAAGATGGCGCAGGTTGAGGCCTCTTAAAGCTTGGCTCATACAATGCTAAAAGATTATTAATTAAAATAAAATTTAAACTTTATTTTTCTGAAAAAATTTTGAGTTTAAAAAATTACTTTGTAAATTAGTTACCCATATTTTATAAAATGCATTACAAAAATAGACATTTAACTCTTTATTCTCAAGTTACAATATTTAAAAATTATTTAACTGTAAAAGAGTAGTAAATTTTCAAAAATGTGTAACTCTGAAACAAGTTAAGGATTCCAAAACTTGGTATTTTTCATGGGAGAAGCAGGTTAAATTTGAAACATTGTTTTAAAAAAAAAATCATTACTTGATTTTGGTATGGAATAATTCTATATCATAATCAAGCAATAAAAATTCAACTACCCACACTTGAAATCTAATGAAATGACATTAACTGCTAAAAGTAAGTAACTTCTAAATGCAAATGAAATTTGATGAGTTATGTCAGTAAGGGAGTACATTTAATGCTGTCCACAGAACATTACCAATTTTCATGCAAAATGAGATTACTTGTTTGAAAAATGTTCACTTTGCATAAATTGATTTATGATAAAATTCACGTAAATTATAAACTAATAAAAAGATTCTCTTTACAGCCATTCAACATCCTACACATGTCCTCCCACCTCCACCCCCTCCCAGAAATGCTCCTCCTCCACCCTATCCCAGATCACATCGACCACCAGACTACACAATAGCAGCCCAAATGGCCGCTAGAAGTCGACAGATGGTCCTCGGAAGGGCACACAGTGTTGAAGGATCCACAAGTTATTACGGTGATTGCACAGATCCTGATGACGACGGTAAGCTGTATACTTTCTCTGTAGTTTTTTTTTTTAATTTACTATTAGACTTTTTCAACATTAACCAATAGGTAACTAAAATCCTTATGCATTTTTAATTCAGCTAGCATTATAATAAAACCTACTTTGAGATAAGGACAGACATTCATAAGATTAGCTGTGGAATGGCGGAGAAAAATAGTAATAAATTGAAAATGTTAGTATCCTTAGTTGTTTCTTTTTCTTATGACTTTATCATAGCTGGCAACTCAACAATCAATAGGAAAAAATCCAGTAAGTTTTATGAAATAATATAAATTTTATGATAATTGTTGCATAATGTACTCAATATGTTATGCATAGGAAATTTTAGGGATTTATATAGTCATCAAAAATACAAAAATTGCAATATTTTCCAGTTATGATGGTCATTATATGAGCTTGAAATGGGTGGCCAAGCTCCTTGATAGTCAAGCCATTTTTCAAAATTTGAAATTTTTCGCGAGCCACAATTAAATATGCATTTAAAAGGTATTAAAAAAAGAATTTTTACAGAAATTATATTTATTAAAAACATATAAATAAAAGTGCAAATTATATGTATTGAATTTAAAAATTAAACACATTCATTTTGCTTCTCTTGATAATTTGGTGAATAATTGGTGACGGCACTTCTCAGTAATTCTTTGATACGCTGGTTAGTTAATACTGATCGGTGTTTGGATTTCACGAATTTTAAAGTGGAGTAAAATGATTCACATAAGTAAGTATGTTGTTCCGAATATTGAAATAATTCGACAAGCAGCCTTTTTTATCGGTATGAATTGTGGAATTTGAGAATCTCCTAAAAGCCCAATAAGACCGGATTTTTTACCCAGCATTGCCCGAGCTCCATCAGTTGCAATGCTTACAAGTTTATTAAGAGGCTCATTATGGAATCTAATACATTTTTAATATCAGTCTCAATCCCTAAATGTTTTAACATAACATTACTAAAAAAATTAGCCTTATAAAGGGGTTAAAGAAAGCATTCTAATAACAGTATGTACTAATGATTATTTACACCAACATTCTTTACATGAAACGACGATGTAATGTGAAACTTAAAAGTGCCGATGCCTCAGAATTATTATATTTCTTTAAACAATTCTACTTAAAAAGTATCCAAATTTATAGCTTTAATTTCATGCACTTGTAAGAATATAAAAGACTTTTAATATGAAAATTAAAATAATAAATACACTATGTTTATATTTAATTTAGTATATTTAAAAATTCCTTTAGAAAATGAGATCTAATTTAAAGATACGAGTATAAAGTGAATGTTTCTTTCTTCTTGAAGTTATAATTTCTACACAGATAGATGTTTTCAAACATTTGATTTAAAGTCAGTATACTGTAAAATTATGATTTGCTAGACTCATCTTAGGTTTTATCCAGTTTTGATGTTGAAAACTCAACCCCTCTTCTCTAAAAGAATGCTTATTTTTTTTAGATGATGAAACCCAAGTATCGGCTGTGTGAAACAGATGAAGATTATCAAAGCAAACATTTTTACGGGTCATGTGAAAGCATCTCATTTTCGGTATTAAAGAAGCCATCCTGATAAATCTTTCTCGTTGCAGTGTTGTCAACAATATATCAAAACTCTATTAGGAAGATTATCAAATTTGAACCCATGTCAAAACATGTTACCAAAGAAGAAAGGACATATGTTTTATAAAGTTGGTTACACGTAAAACCAGATTTTAATTTTATTTCCAGGCGTGTCTACAGCCTGAAAGAACCCATTTTATACATAATTAAATGTTGCATGTTTATATATTAAGTCTTGTACATAGAACTCATAGTGACTCAAGGTTTCAAAACTTGTATAATTTCGTTCATTAAAAAATACATTGTCGACTATTTTATCAAATTGTAATTTAGTACAAAAAGATTATGTAAATTCAAGTTTTTAACTTTGTACCATCAGACCTCCTTTATACAGCATTATTCATTTCGCATGTAATTTAATGGATTATTTTTTAAACAGCTTCTGTTGAAGTTCATGCTATTATTCTAAATGAGCAGTCTTTCAAAATGTTTCATTTCATCACTCCATTTCAATCTCATTTTGTTGTAAACTTTTTCCAGTAAAGTTATTTCAGTTTTTTTCTTGGATGTCTTATTTCTGCGTCAAGTTTCTTTTTCTTTATATATTACATTGTTTTTTTTTCCTTCATGTGCTTGTTGTATTGCAAATTAATAAAAATGACAGTCTATTTGGCAATCTAATTATTAACATATCTCTAAAACTGAGTGGAGGAAATTACAAACAAATATGATTTTAATAACTTTCTTCGGTACATGGGAAGGTGGAATCTGAATATCATCTAGTTAGAGCAGTGGTCAACCTTTAAGCCATGGTCCGGGTATTAAAATGGTACCAAGCCAGCCAAGTAACATTTAATTATTTCTATTCTATTTAAAGTGGTTTATTTCTCTCATTTTTGCGACTTTCTATGAGCGAGAGGTTAAATACAATTAAATTATTAAATCAAAACTATTTAAAATATAAACGTCCGCCCTCACCAAGCTGAGGTAAAATAAACATAAACGGATCTGCAGCGATAAAAAGGTTGGGAAGCATTGAGTTAAGTATTAAAAACATAGTTTTCTGTTTTATCCCTAAAATTCTGACTTGTAAAAATTATATCTCCTTTTGAGCCCTTTATCACAACCTATTTTCTATTATTCTGGAGTTCTGAAAACTCTCTCCGTAGCAACAAGTTTTAACACCAGGGTTCATGACAAGAATAAGTCAAAACTATTTAATATCCTTTGAACTGGAAAGATTAGTAGTTTCAACAACTAGAATACTTAATAATTACTGTTTATCAAATAAATGTATCTGTTGAATCTCACAAATGAGAGAGGAAATTACCAAAATACAACCATGGTAGTACTTCAGGATTTGAACCAGCTACCTCTACAGCTTGGGAAGCCTATCCAATTGTATGCTCTACGTACAACTTCTGATCGGGGTAGCTTGGCTGGTAGGGCGTTGGGTCCATGTCCGAGAGGTAGTGAATTCGATCCCCGCCGGCTGAAGACTCCTGTGTACAAGCTGATGACTGGAGCGCATGAAATCTGCCTGGGTAACAAAGTCCTCCAAGTTCCCATAACAAATCAATAGATGTCTGTGAGTACTGAATCGGAGATGGATTGTGCTCTGGTTCAGGTCAAAATTATACAGTCCCTCAGTAGACTGATCTTTAAAACACGGTTCCCAGCAGATCATCGAAGTCAGGCATCACTGACTGCGGTCAGCGTGCGGGTGGGTGGCCACTTGGATCAGTCTACGTAGAGACAGAGGGTGTGCGGTATTGGCCCTCGTTAATCTGTTCTACCGTAAAGTACTTTACTTCGCGTGCAGGTCGTCGGGCTACCGAAGCAGGGGTGCCATCCCCTCTGCAGAGGATCAAAATTGTGATGGCATGTCTTCGGATCATCCTCAGGGATGTTTCCCAGACCGTCACCAATAGCCCATTGTGCAGCTCTAGTGCGACATAAATGAACAAATCAATCAATCAACCCTCATATTCATAGTACAAATAATTATTGGAAAAAACAGTATAAGTTTAACTATTAAGGTTCTTTTTTCTTTGCCCTTATCCTGAAATTCAATGATAAAAAAAAGTAAGAAATTTGATAGTATAAATAAAAACTTACTATTTTGCCCCTGTACTATTTATTCTATAATATTAATTTTGATGACAAGTTGTTTTTCTTTGTTGTAGGTTGCATATGTTCTATTTAATTTTCTAAAAAAAACCAGTTGAAACAGATTTTACTTAATCTTTTCATTAAAATATTAAGCAGAATAATACTGAACAAAGTGTTGGTAAATCATACCTGCTCGAATAGGATATAAGTAACCAACAATTGTCTTGTGACTGAATTGGAACTATCCAAAACAAAAACATCAGACATGAAAAGATAAAAATTCTCTCGTGAAAAATAGTTATGACAAATATTCCTTTCACACAAGATCTTAAAGTTGAGAAGATTAAGGCCGATTACTTAGTACACCATATTTTGATATGCATCATGTTGCACTGCTAATGCATTATAACAGCAAAAAATATAAGTTTCCCTTCAGAATGATGATAAATTAATGTTTGTTAATAGGTGTCATTTAAAGAATATATGAGAAAGTAATTATCGGAGAAAAACATAGTATAACTCTCACCGTCTTTTTATCAATATATATAGTTTAAATTATAATAAAAATCAAACACAAAAACTTGCTCTTAAATTAACTTTCATTTTTTTTTTCATTCAAGTACGAATGAAAAATTCGGCCTTTTATTAATAAATCCAGAAACTTTTAAAGAAATAAAGATTATACTCCCATTAGTAAAAATTACTGTAGAACATTACATTGATATCTTCATAGGATAAGATCTTTAAAATTTTAAGACTTAGCAAAATAGCATAATACAAGACGTTTTCTCAGTATAGCTCATTTTTTCATGCTTAATATTTTTTTTTAAAAATGCTCAGATAATAGTTTACCAATTTTATCAACTTTCGACTAAATATATTCGCAGGAAATCAAATATGTAGTTTTAAATATTTTATTATATTACTTTAGTGCAAATGATTAGGATTTTCAATAAATCGATTTTACTGTAAATCTCCTGCTATAGTAAAATCGTTCCGATCAATCTTAAAAGTTCATTTAAATAACAAAAGTAGTGAATATGTTATAAGGGGCCGTTCAAAAAGTATGTACGTCCCGAAGGGGGGAGGTATTATACAAAAAACGTACATTATAAGCATTCACTAAATTTAAGTTTGACTTTTTCCTACACATGTAACATAATAATATGTATGTAACCTTATACATACATAATAAATATTTAATTTTGTTTAAAACATAATTATTTTAATTTTTATGAAAAAGGGGGGTAGACTAATGAAATGTATGTACTCTGAGGGGAGAGGGAGGGGATGAAAAATGGAGAAATTTAAATTTCTCCATTTTTGTGTGCATACTTTTTGAAGGACCCCGAAAACTTAATCAGTTTTTATATTAATATCAGTAGTTTTCCTTTTTTTTTAAAAAAAAATACCTTAATTTTAAAGAGTAAAGGGAAAATAAACTTTAAAAAGTAGAAGCAAAGAGTAATGTCTCAGGTACAAGCCATCAAAGAGGCCTGGAAGCTAAATTTTAATCAAGCTATGTTACCCTCTTTTTATATTCAATAGTGCTGCCATCTATTTTTGTAATTATTAAAAACAAAGATAATTTACCTAGAAATAAATAGATATGACTTAAATCAATATAATCATTTAAAGTATTTGCTATTAATATTGAGAATGAAATATTACAAATAATCCCAACTTTAAAAATATGAACATATTTTACTCTCAATGAATAATATTTTAATTAACCAGAGCACAATGATGTCTTAAAGATCAAAAAAAATTATGTAGCAATACTATATATATTCACAAAACAGCAAATTTCATCTTTCAAAACTAATTATTCGAAGCAATTATGTATTATGAAAAAACACCATTATTAGAGCTGGTTAAAGCAGATTTGGTACAAATTTTAACACAGGACAAACTAAAGAGGTTTTAAAAGCAACTATTTACTCTAAATAAAATATTACAAACAGGAAAGAAAAAAAATTTAAAATAAAAAAAGGGGATTAAAAATATTTTATAAAATTTATTTTTTACTTAATAGGATTTGACAACTATTAAAAGACAACTTAACTTTTATTTTTTGCAGAAAATAATTCTTTATACAAGAACATAACGAAAAATTGTCTATAAGTATAATTTTAAAGCTTTTTACTTAAATCTTCATATAGTTATGAAACATATGCTAGTGAGAAATAAAAAAGTCAGTTGTAATATAAATTAGCACCTATAATGTAATCAGATAATGATTGGTGTCGAAAAAGGATGGAAAATTTATTCACAAATCATACCAGAAAGATTAATCTTTTATACAAATTCATTCCTGAGTAAAGGTGTTTTTACGCCCAAAAAAATAAAAGTAGGAAAATTCCATGTTTTTTTACATCATTTGTTCAGTAAAGGTGTATTTTTAATAAGTTAAATCCTATTTATTGTGTTTTTATGGGAAGAAATAGCCAAGATATAAAGTGTGGAGTTGTTATTCATAACAACTGTACGTAACACATACAAATTTTATGACATACGTCATTTTTTCCTGGAAATCATTTAGCAACATCATCCCATAAATTATATTATTGAAGCTTACAAAAATTAAAATCTTACAAAAAAAACCGGGCTTCATTGCAAAGATGCAGTCTCATCAAAACTAAAAATAAAGCACGCTTGAATAATTTTATGATGAAGCTGAAAAGCATATGGTTTCCAGGAAAATGTGATTGAAGTTTGAAAATACATTAGTGATGCAATTCTGTCATAGTTATTTTAACACCTCTAAAATCTTCCTTAAATTACTTTAAATTTCTTTTTTTATCCCCCCCAAAAAAACTTAACTTTTAGTTTGTTGTTACCTAAATATTTTACCATATAATATCTCTAATTAGAAAACTAACATCTTAACGAATAACTAATAGTAACAAATAACTTTAGAATACTAAAATTAAATATTACTTCAGAAAAGTGTCAAGTACAGCTATCATAATTTTAAAAAGCATTTTATTAATATTTCCCAAAATGTATAATTATTTAAGATCGGTTTTTCATATTAGAGATATTTTAAATTAAGATTAATTTAAAAAACAAGGAAAAAATAATACATACCTGTAATTTTAAGATTCCATCTGATTAAAATAACTTGCCGATCGGAAGTTAAAACTAGGAAGAAATTTTTGCTTCGCGTTTTGACACTCCACCAATAAAAAACTATTACCCACGGTTCATCACAACAGGGTTACCACTCAATTTAAGAAACAAAATTTCTTGATTTTCTCTAGGTTTTCTGTGAAAATCTTAATAAAATTTCAAAAATATTATTGCAGTATGTGGCTATATTTCTTCAGAATTAGATTTATTTAATGAATAAGTAATAAAATTTGCTTTTTGACAAAAATTATGCCACATCTTAAATCTGTAGGAAAACACTAGGAGAAAATTTAACAAGTAGATTTTATAATAGTC